AAATCTGCGTTGGCCAAAAGAAAATCCCCCAATTTGCACCCAAGTAATCGTTTTTTTAAATAAATAAATATTAAAAATCCTTAAGGGTCTGGTATGAGAGAAGTGGAGAGCAAGAAATATTTTAATGAATTCGATTTAAGAAATTGAACATAAGGGATTAAAAGCTTTTAATTAATTTTTCTTACTGTCTTATTTTATATCTTTTTTTAATCAAAATTTTATAATTCAACTTTTCTAATGTAAGAAATAAAAAATTAAAAAAAGGATCAAAATAGATAATTTTTTTCGATTTGATTATATATAAAGTCAACGAAAAAGAGAGTTTTCTTCTTTTGAATTGAATGAAATTACAAGACAAAGTTCTTTGTTTTATAGTATTAATATAAATATAATTTTATATAATTTTTTTATTCTATTAGTTTACTCAACCTAAGAATTATTCAATGAATCTGTTGATTTGGAATCACAGGATGGCGGAGATGTCACACATGATGAAGTCAAGTTCATTAAAAAAAAAATTTTTCATCTCCAATTTCAACTTACTTGGTTAGGATATTCCCCCAAGTAGGGACAAATTGGGCTTCTTTTACAACATAATGGATTCGATCCACATAACTGACTCGACTTAATGGCAGAATGAGTTGCTTATAGGCCAAGTTAGTTTAGTATTTGTGGAATCTTGTAGCGGGCCTCAGTGAACTCAAACTCTAAAATGAAAAAAGGCAATCATAATTACAATACGATTAAAAGAATAGTTTTATTAGTTTCGTATAAAAATGAATTAAAAGCAATAAATAATAACAATATAATAGAACAAATATTAGGTCCATGAAGTAGGACAATGTTAATCTAGGAGGGTATTTAAATAAAAATCAAACAATGATTTTAAAAATAGTTTTATAATATACGAAATATATATGTTAGAGAAATTTTTTCTTGGCTAAAGTATAGGCATCCTTTTATTAGAGGTAATCTTATTCGAGATACTGTCAGGCACTAAATGTGGGTACCTTTCCTAACGGGGATTCGAAACTTGGTTCTTCATACCGTGAGGGACTAGTCTCTTCTATTAAACCTAACACCTGTTAGTATGTAAGAGAAATTTTATATCAAATTAGGTGAAAGCATTTCTTAAAAGCGTTTTTGGGAAACCAAACACTACCTACTCGTTATTGGTTACGCCCATGAATAAAGATCTGTGAAATTGAGCCTACATTGTTGAGAAAGCTCATCGTAATATGGCCCAGAAAGGTCCTCATAGCCCATTACCTTGACCCGATCCTTTGGATCGAGGGTATGCATCTCATCTCATCTGAAAATGGTCCAGGTTTTCTAAAGTTAAACAAGAAAAAAAATAAAGGACGTGGATATAGTAGAAAAATCTTGTTTTCATAGCACAGCAAATAAGATTTGAATCACCACTGATAAAACATGATTATTTTTAATAGAAGGATAGCTGTGCCTAACAAAAAAAGTTAAAAAAATCCATATTTAGAAAAGTTATTGTGATTTAAATCATTTACTGCTTTGAGCTTGAGCATGGTCAATTCTAACATGAATTAGTGGCGAAGAGGAGAGAAATTGATGGAGGCCATGACCCCCTAAGATTTTAAATTTTGTTGCGCAATTTTTTTGAAGAATCACTTTCATGTTTTACAAGACAAAATTATTCTAACATATTTATTTATTTTGCAAAATTATTTAAAATAATCTAAACCAAGCACCCACTTATCCAATTTTTTCCAAAATTCATGTGAGTTTTATACTGTACATGGCTTGTAATTTTGACCTCCCTTTATAGTTAAATCCTGCCTGCTTCATCTAGAGGAGAAATTCATACACCATATATGATGACCGTACCATCAATAGGAATCCATTGTCCCTTTTCTGGGTAAACGTGGGTGCATCTATATATTGATGAAAAAGGTGACGTTTGGGACGCAAAGCTAATAATTACTGAGTGGTGGAGATAATGATATAAGAACATGTTTAATTAAATATTTGAAATCCAAGATTTCATTTTGAGTCCAGGATTCTTCAAGCATCCAATGTCCCCTATCTTGAGGCCAAAAAAAAAAAAGGTCCTCTTGGTTGTTTGACTTGGAAAAGCCAGGGCTCCAGCAACGGGACGCCCTGTATGGGTTTTGATGACTTGTCCTTGGTTAATCGGTGCTAGTAAAATGGGCTTTATTATTACAACTCATTTTGTCCTTTTTAAGAGACCCGGGCAGATCTTGAAGCTATTGTCAATAATGTGTTAACTCTTTCTCATCTTTAATGTCAAAGTTACTTAGAGCCGTTCTGAATAATTTATAAATAATTTTTTAATTCTGATTTATAAAATATGAGATAAGTATGTGAGGAAAGTTTTATGTGCTTTTAAGTGATTTTAAATGCTAATCTAAACAGGGCCTTAATTACTTTAGAAAAATTAAGAAAGTTAAATAAATAAGTTAGTATAACAAATATGATACCAACAGAGGTTAGCTCCAGCGGAAGGGACTAGTTCTTTACAACGTAGTGAATCAAGATTCGAATTATCGCTGGAAGAGGTACCCACATTTAGTGTCTGATAGTGCCTCGAATAGAATTGCTTCGAATAGAAAGATACCTATGCTTTAGTAAAAAAAAAAGAAGATATGATCTTCTTAAAATACTCCTGTATAATATTAGGTTATATATCAACTCATAAGCTAGGTAAATTTGTTTGAAGAAAAATAATAAATATAAGAAATAAAGCCAACTAGAATTTTTTAAGTATTTTCGAACTTGTATTCTCCTTTTTAGGGATGGAATCACTTACTATCTCAACTAACATTTTATTGTTGATATCTAGAGTTTTATAGTTAATATCACATCTAACTCTCCAACTAATTTTTATGTCACTAACCCATGTTTGCAGTCAATTTTTTGAGACAACTTTTTTTTTAAAAAATTTCTATGAACAAAAAATAGTTTTCAGCGCAATGTTTGAACAGATATTGAGTGCATGAATATTAACTTATGAATTTATTATTGTGGGGGTCCTGTGAATTGTATGGTAGATGCCAGCTATGTGAGCTCATGCAAATAATAATAGATGGTCACATACTCACATGATCGATCAGATCTCCGCGAACAATGGTTGGCTTTGGTTTTTATTACGTTGAAATGTGAGTAGGGGTGTTCATGTGGCTATTAGCCCGCTCTGTGTGTCCAAGTTCAGTAGAAAAAAAACTCAGTCCGCCCAAACAAAAAGAGCCAAAAACATGTTGGACGTTTTCAGGCAGAATCACTTGTTAGGTAGGGTTAGACATTGGGCACGTTGTGCCGCTTTACCCATTTGGTCTTACTCAAAAAATATAAATAATTTTTGTTAAAAAATATAATACACATACATATTATCATCCTCTGATAGTTTTTTAGTTGCCTTATTTTTAATATAGATAATTGGATGTTATTTATTTCTTACTCCCTCCGTTCCTTATTATAAGAGACATTTGATGCTTATGGCATGTTCCTATATATAAGAGACACTTACAAGTTGTCTCTACTTTTTTGTGTTAATTTACTATTTTACCCATATTTATTATCTCCAATTCACACACACTCTCTCTCTCCCTCTCACTTCTCTTTCTTTTAATAATTTAATTGTTCTCTCTCATGCTCTCTCTCCTTATTAATGAGGGCATTTTTGGAAAAAAAAATTATACTTTTTACACATTAATTGTTCTTAACTAATTTTAACTGTTTTTTTTATCAACGTACTTCGGTTATTTGTCTCTTATAATAAGGAACGGAGGGAGTATTTAAGAAAGGGTATTGCGTTAGCACCCATTGTGCTGTGTTTGGATGTGTAAGTAACGTAAAATTATGGGAACTACTAATATTTATATTTATATTTTTAAATATTACAATTTGTGGAATTGTAGAATATATTTAATGTTTAAAATATTATTTATGAGTTATTGATTGGAGTTTTCTCTTTATATGATATTATGAATAAACATTTCTACTTGGACAAGGATGCTCACCTAGCCAACCTAGCTTAAAATGACTTAAGCTTTTCATTAGTATGTATGGGCAGTAACTAGTAAGTTGCAAAATGTAGTCCATTCATCTTTCGAGTTGGACATTAGGTAGTGATTATGCTTGTCCAACCTTACCCATATGTAGCTTCAAACTAAACGTGGGTCCATGTTAACTTTTGCTTTAGATTTCCACGTCATAACTATAGTTTTTCCTATATTTTTCTTTTCATTTTTCCATTCAATAAATTAAAACAACTGAAAAAAAATTCTAGAGGAGGGTTATCTTAATCGTGTTCATAAGAAATAACAATCTCTTATTTAAGTTAATTCTTACGAATTTTTTTACCCTCACTAATGAGAGTATCTTAAAGAATAACTAATTAGTAATTAGTCAATTAAACAAATAGGTATTTGTTTTTGTTAAAAAAAAGCTTACATTTCTAATTTAATTACTAATTATTAATTTCAACTGCTTTTAACTATATCTGTTGAGTATGGATGAATTAGTTAACTGTGCTTTATAAAAAATGATATTTTTCAAAATATCACGAGTAATATTGACATTGCTGGCAAAAAAAAAGGAGTAATATTGATATTGCCAAAAACCCGTTGGATATTTTATGACCGGAAGTAATATAATATTGAAGCTTTCAATCAAAAGTGATCATTCCGGTCAAAAAAAAAAAAAATCAAAAGTGATCATAACTTCATAAGCTTCCAAGCGAGAGCCGAATTGCCCTAAAAGGCTAAAAGCCTATCTGAGCTGCTGCGAGCAGCGCTTGGGACCTGGCGCCATTATTTTAGGCAACCTGCGAATCACCAAATATCTCTCTAATACTTCCAAGCAATAAAAGAACGCCACGTTCGCATAACTACAAACTGGTCAACTATTTAAACCTTTCTGCAAGACACTTCTAAGACAGGAGCGTAGATCCCACCACAGCAGATAATACTTCGCCGCTTCAAAATTTATGTATATTTTTCTACAATAATTCAAATTACGCCTCGCTTTGTAGATCTACCAACAGTCGCATATGGAGACTCCGATCGATTGCACATACATTGCTTCTTTATCCGAAGCTTGAAGAAGCTCTCATCAATGCCGTTGCCATCAGCTGACGGAGAATTCAATCTTACGGTAAAAATCCCCCGTAAACACTACTTCCTCCTCATTCATATCTAACTTTTCCTTCTTCTCTTTCTCCGCAGCAATCTTCTCACTCTCAGCCTCCTTTCACGATGGGGTGAGTCGCACTTTCCCCTCTCATTCTTCTCTGGGTTTCTATACTAACTATGTGTGGCCTTGCGTTGCGCATTTGCGTTTGCGCCCTTCTGATCCATTCTGGGTTTTGCGCCAACACTCCCGGGCTCGGCATTTTGTTTTTGATTTTTGGTTTTAAGTTTGTATGTTTATAAGTTGAGGTTTCTGATTTTATTTTATTTTATTCGTTAATTAATCCGACTCTCTCTAGGGAGTACACATTTGCGGATGCGGGGAATTTGGAGCATTGTGCCAAGTACTTGAATCAATCGCTTGTTACGTATGGATTTCCAGCTTCTCTGGATCTTTTTGCAAATGACCCTGTGAGAATTGATCTTGGATTTTACTACTTGTTCTCTGGTTCAAGAGGAAAAAAAAAACAGAGATATGGTTTTTAATATCGGTTTGTCTGTGCTTATTTTGGTAGGTTTCCATAGCACGGACTTGCAATTGCCTTTACTTCTTGCTTCAGCAGAGACAGCGTGATGTTGAATTTAGAGATTCTGCTAATGATCAGAGACAACGGTAAGTATACTGTTCACGCAATCATCTGAATTAATTAAGTTCTTCACTAGCGTATCCGATCCTTGAAGGCATAGGTTAGATACATGAGCCTTTGATAAGTATCGAGATTGAAAAACCTTTTTAGCTTCTTTTGCAGCTTTTTCTGGCTCTTTTTAATTTGAAAGGTATTAGGGGTCTATTATCTTTGTGTATTTTGTTTTCAGGTATTTGGTTTCCTTATATTATATAACACATTGTTTTTCAATGGTCTGTTGACGCATTTGGGTCAAGAAAGTGTTGGATGGCCACAATGAGGCAATGATAGTTTGAACTAGTCGAAAACTAGCATCTGAAGTTCAGAACATCACCTAAGTGTCCTAATTCACGAATATCTGATCAGGCCTTTTCCCCTATCTTTTTCGATGCAGACTATTATCTGATATATCAAGATTGGAGGCCAAAGTTGAGAGACTTGAAGGACAGCTGCAAGCCAAAGACAGGGAGATAGCAACAATTACTAGAACGGTTAGATAGATGATGATCATGTTATTGCGAATGTAAAAATGCTAAGACAATTAAAGTGTTCCAGTTATGCCAATATTTAAAAATATGCTATTTTGCTAAGTAATTCTACTACATTTTTTTAATGTTAATATCTGTGAAAATTCTTCCTTTTCAGGAAGCTAAGAACACAGCAGCTCTCAAGGCCCAAATTGAGAAGCTCCAACAAGAACGAGATGAATTTCAAAAAATGGTTCTCGGTAATCAGGTTAGAAACTGGATCTACATTGTTTCTTGCTCCATGTTTCTGGGCAACTACCATTTGAAAATGGAAAAATATTTGACACTTGAAATAATTATGTCAATTCTGCCAAAGCAAGTAAGAACTCAGCAAATGCATGAGATGAAGAAGAAGGAAAAAGAATACATAAAGTTACAAGAGAGGTTAAACCAAGTATTGATGGAGAAGAAGAAGGAATCTAGGTCAGGCATGGAAATAATGAATTTGCTTCAGGTATCAACAATCTCATTTTGCTCATTAGCCTTTCATTTTCATGTTGATTTGTTATTTATGACATGTGTGTTATGTAAACAGAAAGAAGGGAGGCAGCGTGGAACGTGGAATGGGAAGAAGGCAGACAATGATTTTTATAAAAAGATTGTAATATGCTCTGACCCTGTCGTTATAGCTTTTAGTATATTTGGTCATTGATTATCTCTGACATATTGTTCAACATATTCTAAGGTGGATGCTTATGAAGCCAAGAATCAAGGACTAGTGGCTGAGAATGCTGATTTAAGAGCCTTGCTAAGATCAATGCAGGTTGGCCATTGTTTATTGATTGATATTGTTAATTGGTCCAATATCTTCAAGACAAATTATGAATCTGATTCTCCTGGCTCCTGCTGCCATTTTCTGTTGAATATACTTATGATGTGGTTTTGGATTCTTCATCCATTTTCTATTTCCTATTATAGAGTGACAGGCATTTTTTGTTTCTAAATTTTCCTTGCCCTCAATTTGATAATAGGTACTCTCTGTTCCTATTCTCTTTGCTATGAATATCGCTGTGCGCGCCCCTTGGCTGATGACAAAGTTGACCTCAATTTTTCTTTTACATCTTGCCCCATCAGAATTAGCATGAAGTTGCCCCTTTCAAATATGAACACTTGGCGCTTTTGCTCGTGTGACTGCTGACTTCTAATGAATAACGTAGTGCTAAACTGTTGAATGATTGTGGCAACTTTTGATATGGTGGAGTTGGGACAATGGTCTTGCTGTAACTGTCCACCAGCTTATTACGTTAAAGATGGATATGGAAAAGGAAACCTGTCTTTCTTTATCTGCAAAGAATAGCTTTATAATGCTTTCCTGCGTGATGATATGTTTACAAGTAGGCGGGCCATTAACATTTTATCCATCTAATTATGGATTTGAAATTCAGCATTTTGTTTCCGGGTTTCATTTTGAGATTTTAGTAGCTGCCTTTCGGCATGTAGCTTTCTGCCTATGATTCTGAGATTTAGAAGTGACCTGCTTCCAGGGGGACATGCGTGAGTTCTTAAATGCTCCTAATGGGCCATCAAAGCAATCGCTTACTGCCGATGAAAGAGGTGAAAGTGATCCTTCACGATCTCCATTGGTTGGGAGGACGGTATGGAGGCTTTTTACTTTTCAAATACTTCCTTCCCAATTGAAAACTATTGTATGAAATAATTGGGTTTGCTCTCTGCAGGATGTCTTCGACCTACCTTTTCACATGGCCAGAGATAAAATAGAAGAAAGCCTTCGTAACAAGATGTCTTCCATAAAGGTATCTGTTAATATCTCTATGCACCAGAGTATTTTCATAGACGAATGGTTTTGGGTCGCTAATGGCCTTGAAATATGAAGGAGCGAATGGTTCAGTTGCAAGATGCTCAGAAAGGAGCAGAAGTTTCCTCAGAAGCAACTGAGAGGGAACTAGAGCTTGAAGCTCAACTTGTTGAAGCGAGGAGCATCATACAGGAGCAGGTAATGGTTTTCCCTTTAGATATTGCAGGATAGGTTCAAGTCAATCACTTGTCCAGATTTTTTTTATTTTTATTTATTTATTTTTTTTTTGGGGGTGGGGGGCATTTGCAATGTTGTCCTGGATCAGATTAAACAAGGTTTCCTTTTGAGCTGTCTACTCTCTGAGCTAGCTGTTTGGCAATTTATTTCTTGCAGACCTCAGTTTGTGTTTATTTGATGATGCATATTTATTTAAAAGCTGATTTGATAATGTGTTATACTTCAGGCTTCCATAATGTCTAAACATCTTGCCAAGTCTGAGAGGCCAAGGTACTTAAATTTTGCTTCGGATTTGTTAAGCACTACTTATATTTATACATTTCTCCAAGTAATTGAGCCGATTATGTAATTTTTCAGGCAATCGGTCATCTCATCACCTGCTGAGGTATGTATTTGTGCAAGTGTATGCTTTTTTCTCTTTAGGGTGAGATTTATTTGATGTGAAGTTGCAAATCAACCTAAGTTACCGTAATCTTATGAAGGTGAAGCATCTTTCAGTCTTACAAATCAACCTAAGTTCCAATAGTTCAATAAGACTGAAAGATGCTTCACCCTCATAAGATTAAAAGTTGTTACTGCTATTGCACCTCATATTGTGCTACTGGTTACTGCGTTGTGATGTTGTTGCTTCTTCATTTGCAGGCAGTGTGCAACTAGGAATGCTGTGGCCGCTAGTTTAGTTATTGACACACGATTAATCAAGTCAACACTATCATAATGTGTAACTAACCAATGTTGCCCTTGATTGTGTTGACAAAGCCCACCCCGAGGCTGAGGTGTAAGGTGTAATATCGTTGTAATTATTAGTATGTTGTAATTAATTAATGTTATCGCATCTTTGGAACTGCTTAGAGAAGAAAAGATATTCATGTGTCACAAGTATTACAATCAAATTTAATAGCATTTCATTTTGCATGCTTAAACGTTTTATATTGCTACTGCAAGTTCTGGTAAGAGGGAGACTCTGGATTTTGGATACTCCTTTTTATATTTTTTTTTTGCCAATTTTAAAGAAACAGACAAAAATGTCATGTATAATACACAGAATTAACATCTGTATCGATCGCAAAAACTTTTCTAATATATTATTCATGATTGATGAGCAAATAATTTGATTCATTTTTCCAAGCTTTTATAAAACACAAGGATTATGTTTGGTTTTTAGGTATAAACATAAAAAAGAAATAATGATGTGAATAGACGGAATTACGAATCAATATATTCAATTCAACTAAAATCTGTACAGTGAGTCACAAATCGTGAGACTATCTTTTATATTTCGCGCAATTTATGTGATCTATTTGTCTAGTTTGGTCTAAAATAAAAAAATTAAATATTATTTTATTTATATGTTTGGTTGGATGAAAATGATGTAAAATATATACTATAAAATTAGTATAGGATTACATCAAAATAACTGATACAATTGCTATCCCTTTTATAATTTTATCGTTATCACAAGCTTTATAAGTACTTTCCTTTTTTTTGACTGAAGGAGTATATATCTACCAAAAGTATAGAGTAATCGTTCCTGACCACTGCAGACCAAATGATAAACCTTTTTAAGTATGTAGTACGTATAATAGACTTGAAACTAAGAAATCTGCAGAAATATTATAAAAGTGAAAATGCTATGAATATAAAGCATAACTAACCGTATTTAAGTAATAACCAATATGTAACATAGGGAAGTTTAGAAAAATTGACAAACCTTTATTACAAATAACCAATTTAAAGGGTGTTTGGAAGCACCGAAAAGTGCTTCTCAGAAGCACTTTTCTGCAAAACGAGACAAACTTTTTCACATATTTGCTTCGTATACCGTAAAAACACTTTTAAAATCATGGTTTTGATTCTATCCAAACACCTCCTTAATTAATTTTTTCAATCTCTTTAAATTAATTATTTAGTTCTTAATTAAGTACCGGAACTGGACGTAACATGATTGAAGGGAGAATGACGTTTGGATACCTTATAATAAAATTATCAACATTTTATTACCTTAGAAATCTCAAGAATTAGTGGTAAATGGATGTATTCAAAGCACTGAGATGTCATATAGTTTCTTTCAAATTAAATGTACGCATGTTATTTTCCCTAATATTAGAACTTAGAGCAAGTTCATAAAATAAATATTTATAAACCACAAATAATAACGTATCATATTTCATCCAACGCTTCCCCACAAAATAAAAGAAAACGTATGAGAAGTATGATAACATCAATCTCGCCTCGCAAAGAAACATGGAATTTGCTCACATACACTGGAAAGCAACTCAAAGGCTTCCCATATATTCCTCTGATAGGACTCTGTGAGCGACTTGAAGAAGAAGAAGACAAGCTCGAATCAAAGGGCAAAGACATAGCCACAGATTCACGATCAGACAAGCTCTTTACTCCTGCAAATGCATCGAAACTATCACCATATTCTTGTGAGCCTTCTCTGACGACATTCTTACTCCTACGGGTCTGTTTCTTGATGAGTATTACGATAGCTTTCTCTTCCAAAATCGAAACCTGGTAGACCAGTTTGAAGAAGACGAGGAGAAAGAAGAAGAAGGCTTGGAGAACTGTGAATGATCCGAAATAGAAGGCCAAGGAAGGTTGGAGCTGAGAATCGCAGGTGGTGGCGTCAATGGAGGAATAATGTTTTGTTGCTGCTGAGGATGTTTTGGGATTCCAGGTTGCATTTCCCATTGGAATGGCACTCCTTCGTTACATCGAAAGTCAGAGAATCCCACAGAATCGTTCCTTGAGAGAATGTTATTAATGTTCTTATTTTCATTCTCATCAAGCTCCATATGAATTGTTGCAGCTTTTTAGAGCTTCGATCTGATCCGTTGTATGTTTATATAGAAATTATTCATGTATATGTCGTAGTCCTGGGACATGCATTTGGAGACAAAACGTTAGGCAGTTAATTTGACTTTGTTTTCTAGTTAGAGTGATTTAACATATATTGTTGTTGGCAGGCCAAAAAAATGCCGATGTTTTGAAAAATGCACGTGGTAGGGGCTCTTCTTGTCCTTTAAATTAAACAAATAATTGAAGATTAATTACTCGTTTTTGTCCATGGAGCAGATACAGTCGAAAGAATTCTAACACATTACCATTCATATATTCTATTATCTCCGGTTCTTAATATAGACCTATTTGATTTTATTTTGGTCCTAAATATAAGACCCCAATCTACTTTGTCTTCATATTTATGTATTTTTTTTCAAGATAGTTCTCCTAACAATGGTAGTTATAGCCAATAATTAATTAACAATGATATTTTAGGAAAGACAACACATATTTATTACAAATAACTAATTAACTTCTTTCTTAATTCCTCAAATTAGTCAGTTAGCTCTTATAATTAGGACCGAAGGTAGTATATAGAAAGTTGTTTTTTTTGCTTATAGGTATTCTCTATTGGATCCAATTTTATATGGTTGGATACTAACTATAAATAAGTTTATAAGATATAATAGTTTGAGA